TGAAGACTTAGGGCTTCGGGCATATCGAAGAAAAACAGGACATCGTTTGAATGCTCGTCTAATGGACCTGAGACTGAAGAGATGCCGCGCTTTGTTGAAGCGGTACGCGGGAAAAAAATATCGGGAAATTCTTTTTTCGGATGAAAAAATTTTTACCGTAGAAGAGAGCTACAACAAAAAAAATTATAAGGTGTACGCACACAGTTGTGAAGAAGCGAGCAACCGTATTCCGCGTGTCCGACGAGGTCATTTTCCATCCTCGCTCATGGTATGGTTGGGAGTTTCTTATTGGGGCTTAACAGAGGTACATTTTTGTGAGAAAGGTGTAAAAACGAATGCAGTTGTATATCAAAATACAGTCCTGACGAACCTTGTGGAACCTGTTTCTCATAACAGGTTCCACCAAGATTCGGCGCCAGCTCATAGAGCGAAGAGCACACGAGACTGGCTGGCGGCGCGTGAAATCGACTTCATCCGGCACGAAGACTGGCCCTCCTCCAGTCCAGGTTTGAATCCGTTAGATTACAAGATATGGCAATACTTGGACGAAAAGGCGTGCTCAAAGCCTCATCCCAATTTGGAGTCACTCAAGACATCCTTGATTCGCCGATATTGACATGGACCTCGTTCGTGCTGCGATAGATGACTGGCCGCGCAGAATGAAGGCCTGTATTCAAAATCACGGAGGTCATTTTGAATAAACTTTAGTGTCATAAGAATCTATGTTTTGTTAAGTTCATTTTGGTATATGAATGGTTACATAATGAATAAACTTGTTTCAATTATTTTATATTAAACATGTGACAGAATTTATGACCTGACTAGGTATATATGATCCACGTGTATGCACGTCAACATTGCTCGCATGTGCGTGCCAGCTAAAAGTATACCCAAATAGGCCCGCTCCAAAGGCGACACCCGTGTATGCCTGTTGATAACAGGATCCTATATTTACATCTTTTGGGTTGCAATATCCTCAAATGTACCAAGGCACTATTATAAACCTAATAATTAATTATACATAACATAGAAATAAGATGTTTGCTTCAAACTCTTACCAATTATAGTTTATTTGCATTTCATGTTTTGTGATGTGATATTGTTAATTAAGAATACAAAATGAATAATTTAAGGACACTAAATAGGGGCCTATCGAGTTTGTTTTGTGGATTATTCATGAGCGTTTTTTTTGAACAATAGTATAAATGACAAAGTTTTTATACAAAGATATATTTTATATCACAGTCAAGACTACCACTAGTATGGATTACAGTCTTGCTACTGAAAAAATCAGGTAGAAACTCAGGGTTTATGTACCTATACATTGTGTAATGCCTAAATTATAGCTTTATGCTAACATTATTGAAAATAAAAGTTAAATTACTATGACATGTCTGACTTGTGAGATTCATGAGTGCTTGGAGCAACATTTCTAAGAGGGATCGCGTTGATATAGTGATGACAGCTATTGATAAAGATTACTTGTTGATTAGCCTAGAAAAATAATGTGATAATGTCAAAGACCCCTGTTTTTCGGCCTTCAATGTAATATAATAATTTAGATCTTCAGTTTATTTATCTTGCATTGTACATTATTTCTTATCATAACATAACATTGATATAAATGCACTCAAGAGCTCTGTTTAAGGCATCGATAAACATTTCAAGTGAAAGATTAATAATGCATTGTGCAGTCAAGTTTCTAGAGTAACCATTGCAATTTGAAATCTTTGTAATTAATTTTAGTATACACTGCGACAATTATTCATCCCCAGCATAGTCTAAGCAGATAGTAGGGTAAAATTTCCCATTACGAGTTATTAATTGTACACTTTACAAATTTAATAATTTCCTTGACTAAGCAAAAAGGCTTATCTTTTTAGGTGTTTCATATTGAAATTGAAATAATTGAATTGAATTGATTATACCTTGAAAGTAGTGCAATATTATGGTCCATTTTTAATCCAGAAGTGGGTCTGTTCCCATCTTTGTTTTCATAAACAAATCACTCAAAAAGGTTTTACTGTTCAAGTAGATCTAAGCTGACATAGCTACTGCAGATTCAGATTCCTATTTCACTGGTGACAGGAATCAGCAATAAACTCTACGATTCCTTTTCCAAATATAAGCAAATTGTAACACAGAAATTATCCTTATCCATTTTAAAAGTCTCAATTTGAACTTTTAAGAGTTAAAACAGTGTAATTAGCAGCTTAAAAGTTTAAGGACTTTTTGTTGTTAGAATGTACCAAATAAGGTATGTACCAAGGCATAGTGTTTTTTTGTTTTTATTGCTTAGGTGGGTGGACGAGCTCACGACCAACCTGGTGTTAAGCAGTTACCGGAGCCCATAGACATCTACAATGTCACTATAATCACTAATATAGTCACTGCAGATTCCAGGAATTACTTTTTTTACTGCATAATTTTTTTTTTTATCTATAATTAAATTATATAAAATATAATTTTAATTTTAATTTTTATCTATAAATAAACCCAGTATAAAAAAAATTAATATATTAAAATGTCAATATTTGAAATTGACATAAAATTAACTTAAAACTATAGCATTCTGTATGTGAGCACTTTCTAAGTATATTTCAAGTACACTAATCCATCCATCCATCCATCCAAGTACTCCTTTAATTTAGAAACTTAAACTTAAATTTAGTTAACTTTAACTACTTTTATAACTTCAATTTAAATTCAAATTTAAAATTGGCTTTTGACTATTTACTAATAAACTGGTACTTTTAAAGATATTTCTTATAAATGTGATTTGAGTTCATAGTTTCAACATTATGGAATGAACTTTAATTTTTAAACGCCAAAGTTTTTACTAAACTTTAATCAACGATATACTATTTTTGTTATTATTTGAAGTATGTATTATTTTAAGTTTTGTCATAATTTTATTAACTTGAACCCTTCCGAATCTGTCAAAAGGTCATTAGTTATGTGTGGGCGTTGTAAACAAAATTCACTCACCCGTTTATATTCAGTTGTCCGCTAACCATATCTCTATTTCCGACGAGACAGCCAGGTGTCTCAGACTTGTCTGTTATGTACTGGACCTCGACATCTTCCAATATAGCCGCACGATCAGCGTTTGTTTTATTCAACTTATCACTAGACAAACTTTTCGATCTATATCTACCACTCAATGGTACTAAATTCTTATCAGTGAACGCGTTCAATGTATTTATTTTTGTATCATTATGATATTTTTCGTTAATTAAATGTGATGACATTGCGCGCGTTGTTCTGTCAATCTCAGGTGCGCGAATCGACTGACGTTTAAAACGACTAACCTAACCACATATTAAGCTGTCAACAAAACAATGGTAATCGACAAAGTGAGCGAGGTCGCGTTCTCCGCATTAACTTTAACAATTTCAGATGTCTTGAAATTAGTCGGGTATTTTTATAAGGTATGAATCTTGCCGAATGCTAATGTCCGATGCCCGAAAAAAGGTGGTTTTTTCAACTTCGGAATCGGAACACAAATGAAGGCTAAAACTCTATTGTTGTTCTAAAATTCATTGATTATCAAACAATTTATAAAGTGATAAAAAGTTCCCGTAAATTGTAAAGAATCAAGGGAAGACGTCTGTGGTTAGTCATTAAGTCAAAACCGTATTATTGTGATGATACGGAAACACTTTGAGGATTTTCTTTCCTATAAATTATATTGAGAAAAAAATTTATCACAACATCCATGATCACTCATTGTTTATCGTAAGAAACTCTTTGCATTTTTAATAGGTAAATGAAGAATATCAACCGTTTTTACCCTACATTTCTAAAATGTTAACTAAATAGAAGGAAATAGCATTAAAGATCCAAATAAAGTAATAAGCTTTGAATAACTTATATTCTATAAAGAACCCTGGACTTAATCTTGCATTCGTAGATGCCATTTCTTCCATACGAAGACATACGTATAATTTACACTTTTGTGGCTAAAAATATGAGGGGAACAAAGATAGAACTATCTAAATTATCTGCGATAGCCAAGGCGCTCTCAAGGTACTAAATCCGGTTTGAGGCTAGAGTACCTAAACTTAGTTCGTTAAATGAGCTAGGCAGGCGCAACATCATCAATCTATAGTTTGGGTCAATTGATATGTTGACTTGCTTGGTACCGAGGGTCATGAACAATTTGGTGGAATGGCCAAAAAGTGATTTAAAAGATGAATGATTGAATCAGAACCATCTATGGAAATTACTATGAGAACGGTCTATATTGCACGGGTGGACTGCGCTAAAACTCGAATCTTTGGAAATGGAAGAGCACTTCCGTTCCGAGAAACTTTAAGGAGTTCCTAAGTGAAATTAAAACTTAGCAGAAGACTTTAGCTGTAGATTAGTTTACCTGTAGAATATAAATGGAAACTCAGTGGGCTGTGCCTGTGGGTTAATGTACTCGTCGACCCCTTCGTCGCAAGCGACGGGTTTGACAAGAACCATGACCGGTGCTTGAGGTACCTAAAAGCACCGTTAGTCGATCGGAAAGATCCGAAATTACGTGTTTTGGGCGACGTCGACTGCTTTCCATTCTGTCCGCAGGATCGGGAATGTAGTTACCGGCGGCCACAATGAGAGGGTTCTCGTGTCGTGCCGCTTTATTGAAGTGGCCCATTGATGCCAACTGTAGATACTTACTGATGGACTCTTAAGTTCAGGTCATCATGGAGGTCGATGTTCCTGACGAACCACGGGGCTCCGACGGCTATCCTGCAAACACGGGATTGTATAACTTGGAGTGGTTTTAAGTTAGTGCGGGTCGCGTGAGCGAACACTACCCTTGCATAGGTCATGTAGGGGCGTATGCAAGTTTTGTAGAGTGTCACCTTATTTCTAAGGAACAATTTACTTCGCCTACAAATCATCTGGTAGAGGCGTCCTAGTAAGAAGGCGGCACGGTCGCGTACTGTCTTTAAGTGGGGGCGGAATATCGTCCCTCTGTCGAGAGTGACGCCTAGGTATCTGACCTTGGGGGCCCACGGTATGGGTTGGTCGTACATCATGATGGGGCGAATGGCGGAGGCGGAGGTGTTAACGCGCCTAGTCGGGAGAGGAGCTATGCGAGCGGTTAGAGGAAGCGGGTTAAAAATCAGTGGACTGACACAAAAAAAAAATACAGTCGGGCTGTTTGTCCGCTCTGTCGATCACATAATTAGTTATACATTAGCGATGGAGCCGTTCTGAAACAATAATCGGGTATCAAATTTAGTTGTCTAGTCTTTTAGACAAATCAAAACTAAGTCAATTAAGATAAGGATGCACGTTTAGACATCACCGCTGAAGTGCACGCGTACGAGAGAGATATATGTATATTCCCACGGAATAGATAATATCTATTATCTAGATAATATCTATTCCGTGTATATTCCTACTACGCAATACAGTTACTAGCTGTTCTTAGGAGTATTTTTAAAGCTGTGATTTAAAACTCTTACTACAACTAAATTCGACGTTACAATATCAACATCACCTACACCGACTTATTTTAGCAGCCCTATACTCGTAGTAAGACTCGCTTTTGTTATGTGTACCGGAAACACAGAGAGGAGTTTCTTGTCTCCTGCACCCAAACCTCGATTGCATATAAATAAATAACAAAACGAATGACTTTTTTGTTACCTTGTTGTGCAGAGTGCTTAGTGCGAGTTTTTTAACGTTCTCGACAGCGTAAAACTTAGCTCAAATTTGTATGCAGCTGGAACAGCGCTCCTAGCGGCAAACGTAGGCAAACGTTCCAACGAGTTCACTTTTACACTATCGGGAACATTAAAAAACTCGCACTAAGCACACCACAGTTGTGGCAGGAGGCCTGACCACGAACGGGAGAGGGAGAACTCTTCCTCCCTCTTGGCGCCGTGCCACCGCCGTCGAGCCGGGGGTCGGAGGAGGGTGTTTGTCCAGCTCCGGCCCCTATGTGGAGGCAGTCTCCTCCCGGTGATGGTCACGGGGCAACCTAAGGGGGTTGAGACTGCACCGCACGCTACCGTCACTCTAGCGCGCTGGCACCAGGAGGACGGGACGACGCGTCGGCGGCTGCGGACTGCGATGCGGTCCGCATTTTCGTCGTCGCTGTCGTCGCCGAACATACTGTGTAAGAGCAACCCGGTCGGCGGTGTATCGCGTTCCGACCCGGCAGGCTGGTTCTGGCCCAGCGGGATACGGAACCCGGAACACCAGCGGCATCGCCCGGGTGGCCTGGTAGGGCCGCCGTACTGCGGAGACCGACGTCATTGGTCGTCGACTATCGCCTCGACGACCCGTTGGTCGGGCGTCTTCGGGGTGGCGTGTGGTTGTAGTGTTGATCGCGGGAACCCCCTACTTTGACCGGGTTTTGACCCCGGACGGAGATCGGACGCCGGGTGTAAGAGTGCAGGGGAGTCATTTAGTGGGTGGGCCCTAAATTCCTTGGGCCTGCGGTCTGCTCTCAACACCTGCAGATCGTTGAGTCTCACATACCCCGCGTGCCCCCTAGGCGCGGGGACCTCGTAGGAGGTTCGGCCCTCGGCCCGAAAAAAAAAAAAGGGGGGCCTGACCACACCACAGTGTGTGGCCCCATATATTATACACTTCATATATTTGTGGCCCCGTCGGTCATGGACGACAGCAACTAATGTAAGCTGCACGATGCCGTGGTCAGTCACTAGTTGCTAAACCACGGAACTGATTTATTTACAATTTTCATTTTTAGTTCATTCTTTTCATGCTATGAAATGAATTTTCGGACTTTTCATTACTCTCATTTTGTGGAAAAATGTTCTACGGCGGCCTTAACTTTAAAATACTTTTAATTAAGTCAACGAATCATAAAAAAGAATGCAAATACGTCATCACAGTATATACAGAAAATCTAAGTAGCTACTTAACTTTAATTATTTTTCAGTATGCCATTTTCAGGTGAACAATCAGCAATAGCTCTTATGATGTTGTTCTTATGAGAGATAACTACTTATGTACATACCTAATATGTATTTGTTTACTCATCTTAATTTATTCGTAAACAAATTATAATACAGACTGTTAATAATAAAAACGTAAAACACTTAAGTGTACGTATGTATGTACCTATACACTATCTGACAAGTTTAAATAAGTTCAGGTAAGGTTCCTAAACCTAAAGTGGGAATGAAACTCCTAGGCCGACATTATTGGGCATGACAGTCATTGAATGATCCAATCGGAAACTCTATTTTTTTATATTTTAAATTCGATTCGATTTTTTTTTATCAAACACAAAAAATCAATATATATTTCAAAGAAAATACCTTCTGAGTAAGCTGAAATTATACATTTTATTTCAGTTGTAACGACCGACGCGACGCGGTGAAGTGATGTTTTTTTTAAGTTTATTGTCCCATTCGCAGATATTTTGTTATAATGTGATTGATTGTCCATTAACAAGATATAATGACGCCAGAATGTTTTTCTTAGCCCACACTAATCTGCATGTAGGCAAGTACGCTAATTAAAAGTAAATTTTTTTGTCTGTTTTTAACAATGTTTGACCATTGACGACGTATCTCTATAGAGTTGAGTTAAAACTTGACGTAAGTGAAGAATTACTTAATGGATCTGTACCAATTATCGGTCATTTGTTCATATTCGATAATAACATAATCACTAATGCTGTTATCTTAAGATTTAAGTACATTTTCAGTATTAACTTCTTTGTAAAGGAGGAAAAAACTTTACTGTTTTCATTTATTTTATTGATAACTACCACACAAATCAATAACTATCAAACACACAAAAAAGTCGACTGATAATCAGAGGAGGAAATGGTATCCAACTTTTTTATCATTGACTTTTTTCTTACTTTTTTTATTGCTTAATTAGCTTGACGAGCTTACACTCCACCTGGTGTTAAGTGGTCAATGGAGCCCATAGACATCTACAACGTAAATTCACCACCCACCTTGAAATATAACTTCTAAGATCTCAGTATAGTTACAACGGCTGTCCTACTCTTCAAACCGAAACGCATTACGGCTTCACGGCAGAAATAGGCAGGGCAGTGGTACCTACCTGCCCGCGCGGACTCACAAGAGGTCCTACCACCAGTACGTGCCACTATTCTATATTACGCTGTGCACTCTGAGCCCTCACAATACATTAAATAATAACGAACTCACATAATATTGAGTTTTCTTGTGTTCGCTTCGCCCTTGCAACCGTAGTGTGCGGTGTGAACTAAAATATATTTTACATCAACCATAAAATGATATACAAACTCGAGATAACGACAGGCACCACCGATTGTGAAACAATAATAGTGTGCAGTTGTGGTGGAATACAACAATAATTAAACAGACAAAATCATTACGGATCTTTATTGTTAATTATATACTGTACGAGGATCGATGATGAACAAACAATAACTAGACCGACATCCTTATTGTCATATTAATGTACACGTTAGTACACGTCGCATAAAAAATCTAAACATGAATTCTAGTCCTTTTACTCATTAGTGGTGGTAGTGGTAGCTACTTGATAGACCGTCTTGTAGTTCACACGCACGGGTAGCCTCCACCACGTTGCCAAAGAAGCAATCATACGTTCCGGTTTGAAGGGTGGGGCAATCGTTATACTAGTACTATGTAATAGCCGGTAGGCAGCGGCTTGGCTCTGCCCCAGGCATTGCTGAAGTCTATGGGCGACGTTAACTACTCACCATCAGGTGGGCCGTATGCTCGTCTATCTACACGGGCAATAAAAAATAAAAATAAAAACATAGAATAGACTTATACCTCATGTCTGAAGGTGGGTCGCGGCATTTATGTTGTTGATGTCTATGGGCTTATCACCACTTAATAACGGGTGGATAGTCAACTCGTTCGCCCATGTAATATAATAAAATATTATATTATATTAATTGATGCTCCTTCACTTACGGTAAGCTACAAATAATTCTCAGTCTTTTTCTCCTAAGCCATTATTATCAAGCTTATAATTGCGGCTAGCCTGAGGTCATCCCTAATGAGGGATCGATAGATTTTTGGCTTGGTGGGATAGGAATTAATACCACTTCTACGAACAGATAATGCGTTACCACCAGTAGTTTGAGCAGCTCAAGATCATCATAGTACCGTATCTCTCGGTAAATAGTTAGACTATAATAAAACAACCACCTGAGACCAGACTATGGAAAAGAATGAATTTACCCATCTACTTTTAATAATTCAAAGCCATGAAAGTGCAACTCAATACTATCAACAATAATGGATACTTCGGTTCTGAGATGGATGACTCATTGACACCACGCCTGTGGACGGCGCGGGCGACGCGACTGCGTCGACAAAATATCAATTTATTAGACATTCATGTAAATACATCAGATCTATACCCAAAATTAATTGTACCGCAATAAAGTTTAACTTTCTGTAACAATAAATTGCACAAAATACTTGATTGGTTCAACGATAAAAGGAAAATGAAGTTACAAGTTTGTTTAGCCGCGGCGGAAACAAATATTATCATACTCTGGGAAACCGGAGACAATGGTAACGGCACGATAACAAAGGGCAGTAAATTCTCCAACTATCTATGTCCACAAGCGCTTGTTTTCACGCCGGTTTTTCGTCTCCTCAGTTTAGCTAAAATTTATGGACAAATAGTTCTTTGCTTTCTGCCAATATATTCTTGACCCACCTCTTTAGCACTAGGTATAACTCATAATGATGAATCGCTCATATTCCTGCACTTTGACACAACAGCGACCTTGAAGTGGATCATCTGCCCAGGGTTGGAAAGGTACGGCTTTTTCTTCAATCTTCAGTTCAGTTTCAATTCAGGACAATTGTGGAAATCTAGCTTCAGGATCATGTTTCGATTGATTATAATGAGCGATACACATTTATATGTCACTAGTGACGAACGCCCGAACCTATATGTACATTTGACATATATTATGATACAAATGCTACTACTATAATAATTGCACAATAAAGTGGTATTTCCGACATCTTGACTTGGTATTGTTTATGTAAATTTAAACATACGATTACATTAGGATCGTAGGGTCGATATTTTTTTATTAAAAATAAATTATGGGTATCCTGATATGGCAAAAATAAGAGACGGATTCTTCAGGTAATAATAAATAGGAAGATGGTAGCAACCTGAACTGGAAACAGGAAGACCAAGCTCCAATTATAAGTTAGAGTTAAAACTGATTTTTTTTACAACGAACCGTTTGGTTTCAAATTAATTACTTTAGGCTTCTGGTACTAGGGGGCTGCGCATGCGGGTCTGTCTTCTAGATTCGCTATCGCTATGCCTAATTGTCTTCGTTGTTTCAAAAAATTTTCGTGAGGCGCTCGGATTTTACAATGCATATGTGTGAGCAACGAATGAGTGCCCTCTTGGTGATCATTTACCCACTTCGAATAATTGTTGATCGCGATAGAGACATACGATAGCACTCTTAAAACTATCAGATAATACACTCTCTACATATTGCGTTATGTTTTATAAAATAATCAATAACAATAAATGATCAATAGTTACAGCACAGTAAATATATTTGGCGAGTCGAGTGGAAAGCTGTTACATCAGCGGTCGCGTGCCGTGGTAGTGACCCACTAACTCGATACAGTTCGCTTCGTGATGAAATTACGATGTCACGTCATTTTTATTGCGTCACGCGTGCTTAGAATAATATAGTATAGTCTCCGGAAAACCGTACAGCACTTCGGACACACTATTGAGGGAGCGTTCCGATGACAATGTCAATACTGTTACATTACGTGCATACAGATGTGTGTACACTAATTCCCAGCAAGGTCTTCTATTCATTCTGTCTTACACGATTCCCATATTAGAAGCAAGGGTTAAATTTACCGACTTATTTAATGGTACCTACCCTCGCTCGCATATGTATATGTAGCACATATTTATTTATTTATTTTGGATAGTTCCCTTTCCTCAAATATGAAATATGTTCGTAGTGCAACAGCACTGTTAATTTATTGTCATTGTCTCCCTTCAGCACTCCGCACCATTGACTGCCTGGTACTTGTTAGTACGGAAACACAGATGCTCATCTGTTAACGTGAACAAATCAACTGAGCAACATTTCACTAACGCGTGTAATTCACGTTAGCGCTTATCGTAACATCACTATCAGTCTTTTTTATCGTTCAATCACAGTACCGGAAATAGCAAAAAACTTTACTTTTAGCAGGAACAGGAAGCATATTGTTTACCGCGCTTTCCGCTTGATCGAACTCTAAAACTGTTGTCAATGGATAAATTATATTTCCTAGTCTTTTGTTTCAGTCTTGGCACTGAGTTCTTGATGTAAGCTTACTTATTTTTAGTTTCCGTAAATAAAATTTATTTGCAACATTTTCTTGTCCAGACTTAACGAACATGCGTCGCAGACAAACCCGCGCGCCGCAAGTTTTGTAGTTAGCGGACTGCGTTCCAGTTTGAAGCGTAGGCCTTATTGGTTCGTATGTCTACGCATCTTGTCCTCAGAGGACAGCAGCCGCGTTAGACGTACTGTCTCTGGTCACTGATTGTTATCTCACAATACCATCCTCTATAAATTAGAGGTCTCTCTCATCCTCTATTCCTCTTTAGATTATAAGTCTACGGTTAGACTATTTCCACTTTGGACACTGCAGCTCATAAAGAGAGCGGGTGCTCTTACAACTCGCGTATTTTAGTTAGGATATAGTGCCGTCCGAGCCTCCCGAAGTTGCAGAAGCTCAGTTGGTAGCCGATCAAAACTCCTCGAAATTAAAATCAAGTGAATTTTATTAGCAAGGTGCATGGAGTTAATATACTAACTCTATGGCAAGGTGTGATTAATTTAAATAAAGCAAAAGGATCAGCGGGCGTTTTGTGTATAATTGATTTAACCTTCATAACTTGCTTCGATAGCGAGAACTTCTCCAATAACTTTTTACAGATGCGTTTTTCATAGAAAAATACACTTGACCTATTTGAGCGACCGTGAGTGTTGAACGATTATCAACTTAAGGTCAATTCGTTCGTGGCATACGGAGACCCTAAATTAGGGCATACCATTCGATATTGGATGTGACCAGAATGTAATCTAAATAGCATCGCCTGTTCAAGGTATACGGATAAGATTCATAGTTAATCGATATCGACTTACATTGGCGGTGTCAAAATAGCCAGAGCTAGAACTTTATTGTACCGTATGCTATTTTACAAATATTGTTGCGATTAGAGCTAAACGGTCGTCAATAAAGTATTGTAAAGATTTTAACAAAATGTTTGGTATCATGAAGGCCGATTTAATCTATTACAAATAATTGGAATCGTAAAAACTTTAAAGGCTACTTAAAAAACACAAGACTCAGCTTATTTCCGGAAATAAGACCTCACAACACGTAAGCCGTAATACGCAGCAGCAGAGTACACCAGTAAATGTATACCATTAGCAAAATTTACGTGGGAATACCACCTTTGAACAGGGCTATCTTCCAGAAACCGTGGCCAATCTGCCGTACTCCGATCCTCGTATGTCTGAGCTTGCGGACGGAGGCTGGTCAGCAGATTAAGGTAGGCAGTGTGCCCAGCTTCCAGAGCAGCAGCAACGTCTCCATCGGCGAATATGTCCAACGTCCCCCACTCTAAGTGTTTCGGACTCCCTTCGCCTGTTAGCTCTTTAAGTGCTACATAATCTCCACACCTAGGTATGAACAAATCCGCTATGTTTGTCTCTTTGTAGTTCACTGGGGAACTTGCGTTATTTCCGAATAGTTTTATAAGTTGTTCTATGACGGCTTCTTTACTGTCCCCGTCACTCTCATCACGGACCATCAAATACCCGATCAGTGAGGGATATTTCTCTAAGCTACCAGTCGTAGACATTTCTGGTTTCTCCATTGCCCAGATGATTGGACCACGTATGCTGAGAATGTCACCGCTGTAGCCCAATTTCGTCCAAAAGTTATCTTCATATTGTATAACAAACCTCCTGGCACGACCCGGAATCATGGCGCGAATCTTATTAGCCAAATTTACCGCCAGCAGCTCATCCTCAACTCGAATGCTGTCGAGCTGGTCAGGTTTTAATGCCATCGCCAACAAATTACACACATAATCTGTTTCGCCTTTTATTGTTTCCAGAATAACTTGTTCATCAGAGTATGTCCTTATTTCCTTAATAGATTTAGCGGACAGAGTTATGTCAGCGATGCTCTGCTGCAGTTTTTTCTGGAGACGTTTCCGACAGTGACCCAAAGTCTTCTCCCTAAACTTTGTATTATTTCCATCTAAATGGTTTTTAGTACTGCCGGTCCTGTAACATTGATGAAGATAGAATAACACAGACACAGAATTAGCCGGTGCGCCACAGACCAGCTTAACGGTAGATCTCATTATTTCTTTAGAAGTTGGAAACAACAATGCCCCCCGTATATGACTTTCCATACACGTCTGATCGTAGTATCTTAACCTATTTCTTTCTGCTTGCAAATCTACTTTGTGTCTCTGAAATAAGTCCTTCATGCTCTGATCTAACATGTTCTGGTATTGGTTAATCTCGAACCTCTCCATCACGCTGAGATAGTCGAACTCGTGGAAGTCATTGGTACATTCTACAGTGTTACCGTTTTGGTGCTGGAACAGCTTGGTCAACCTAGTCCTGACTCTTTCCGGGGCTATTATGACGTCTGGAAGGGGCACGTGGAATTCTTTGGCATATTTAGCTAGATAAAACCGCGCAACATTCTCAATCATTTGCTTAGCGGTTCCTTGAAAATCCGGCTCGGTTATGATATCCTGGCTGTCCTTTTCTACATCTTCGAAGACAACATTATACTTGGAATAGCTTTGTGTCTGTCCCGCCAGGTCTAACACGACAATATCCATAGAATCTCCGAACCTCCTCTTTAGCTTGTGAGCGGCCACGATCCCTGGTAAACTGCATCCTAAAATAATTACGTCAGCTTTAACACTCTTCTTATGAGTTTCATCGAGTTTCTGTACCATTTGTGTATTTAGAATTAAAATAAAGTATGAATAAAATATTTCTAAAATGTTATTATGTAAACAATATTTAGTTCCATGATCGGCTCAAAAATGGCGGCTAGTTGTCACATTCACAAGTCAATGTTTACTAAAAAGGTTTTGTTTCACTGAGCAGATTTTTACTTAACATTTTATTTTATTTTATTTCTGAGACAACTCAAGAATGGAAAAACGCTGGAGATGATGGTATAACAACTGAGCTATTGAAGGCAGGAGGAACACCTCTCTTAGTAGAGCTACAGAAGCTCTTCAGTCACGTCATTCACCGCGGAAGAACTCCGAAGGCGTGGAACAACAGTATTGTGGGCCTCTTTTTCAAAAAAGGAGACAATTTAAAGAACTACAGACAAATCTCTCTCCTGAACCGCATATACCTAGTCTTGCCATAAATACTGAGACAAAGGAAAAAAAAATGTCTATTGCAAATAACATTTATTACTTTTACAGTGTGTTAGTTTAATACATAAATATAAAACAATTTAAAGTATAAAAAGCTTATTCGAAGTGGTCTCCATTGACTGTAATACAGTCCTTTAAACGTTGAGGCCATTGTTGAAAAATGTTCACTGGCAATCGTACGGATTGTTTTAGGGACTCCAAATTATCATGGCGTTTAGAGCAAGCCGTACTCTCTAAAACTGACCATAAATCATAATCCAGCGGATTAAGATCGGGACTAGACGACGGCCAGTCTTCAGCTCTGATGAAGTCCGAAACGTTCGTTTCCAACCAAGACTGCGTAGACCGAGCTTTATGACCTGGCCCCAAGTCTTGCTGGAAGGACCATTCTTGATTATTGAACATGGTGTTGTTAAGGGGCTTCACTACCTTCTCAAGAATGGTATCTTGATACACTTGTGCCGATGTTATGATACCTTTATCACAAAAGTATGGCTCAGTCACTCCTTCATAGCTAATACCCCACCAAACCATCACTGAAGTCGGATAGTGCCCACGTTGCACTCTGTCGACTAATTGGGAAGCTTCCTTAGAGCTTTGAGCATAAATACGGTCATTTTGTTTATTAAAAGGTTGCTCAATTGTAAAAAAATTCTCATCCGTAAACAAAAAATTTCTATGACCTCCCTTAGCGTACCGCTTCAGTAGTTGTTTCGATTTTACCACCCTATTCTCTTTTAAATTATCAGTTAAGAAATGACCAGTACGTCTCTTATAGGCTGCAAGTCCTAAGTCATCTTTTAAAATACGCGACATGGTTCTAGGTGCTATCTTCATCTCCCGAGATAAAACCTTTTGCTTTCGGACAGGATTTCTTCGAATTCTTTCCCTTATTGCTTTGACTACATTTTTGGTACGAACACTACGGGGACGGCCAGATCTTTTTCTGTTACAAGCAGAGGAGGTCTCATTGCACCTAGTAATAGCCCGGTACACAAACATTTTACTAATACCAAGCGTATGGAGAGTTTTAAAAATTGCATTTGGCTCCATACCTACTTTGTGTATTAGCGCCAAAATGAGAAAACTCAATGAGCAATCATATAAAAATGACAGATTCCAAATTCAAATGTAATATTTTGTTTATTTTTAATTGTAACAGTATTTATGGCCAGACTAAGTATAAGTTGTTCTCACGAGTCATCACAAATCGTCTGGTTTGAGAGGCCTATGTCCAGCAGTGGGCGACTTTTTTTTATTATTTTTTATTGGTGAGATGTGTGGACGAGCTCACAGCCCACTTGGTGTTAAGTGGTTACTGGAGCCCATAGACATCTATAACGTAAATGCGCCACACACCTTGAGATATAGTTCTAAGGTCTCAGTATAGTCACAACGGCTGCCCCACCCTTCAAACCAAAACGCATTACTGCTTCACGGCAGAAATAGGCGGGGCAGTGGTACCTACCCGTGCGGACTCACAAGAGGTCCTACCACCAGTAATTACGCAAATTATAATTTTGCGGGTTTGATTTTTATTGCACGATGTTATTCCTTCACCGTGGAAGTCAATCGTGAACATTTGTTGAGTACGTATTTCATTAGAAAAATTGGTACCCGCCTGCGGGATTCGAACACCAGTGCATCGCTCGATACGAGTGCACCGGAAGTCTTATCCTTTAGGCCACGACGACTTAACATTAACTGTGGGCTGTTGATGATGATGATGATTTATTTATTTCAAAATGATTTTTTGCTTACTATTCTTCTGTCAGTCCCTCCGTTATCGGTAGTTAACCGTTGGTTTTTCACCGTCAACTCCAAATTCACTGCTGGATGCTTCTCAACGACAACTTTCTTGTTCGTGCGACAATCATCGTCGTGCAGGTCGCTTTTTGTACAAGTACAAATTTTTCAAATATAGGAAAAGTATTTTCTCTGAACCTTATTTTATTATTACAATTTAGCGTATGTTTTACTTTAGGTGGCATTTCATCACAGATTTTTTTTAAATAGTGTATATTCACGCAAATACAACAGTTTGCTAAGTGAAAAAATTAAGGCGCTCAAATAGATTTGTTGTTTTGACGGACTTTAATCTCCACAATAAAGCTAATTTCGAACCTATAGATAATAATATTATTAAATTGTCATTAAAGATAATTATAATTATATAAAGATAATTGTATTATATATGAAAACATCATAGATTATCTTTTCAATTGTTTCGACATAGCGGCTTTTCTTCGAAATTTGAATGTTTTTCACGTTCACAGATCAAAATCTGGGTTGGAGCTGTGGAGTAATACCCTCTCTCCATTGTCGTCATTATAGACGTATTTCGGGATAAAATTCGCACAGTAAAAATACACGTTGTGGATACAGAACCAAACAATCAGAACATAGAATCTAAATTCTTTGGAAACATGATTCAGATCTGATAGTAGGGGAGCCCACGATTATAAATGGGGATTTACTCGAGCGTCATAGAGACCTATTGGATTGCAAATAATTAATAAGAAAAAAATGTCAACATACTCGAGCGCGTTATTGATAGCATAAATGTCCTACGTATTTTTAATAATGTATGATGTATGTTAATGGTTGTAAGGGGTTGTAAGGGGCATGGAACTAAGATCTTTACCATCTCAAATGTCAACCTCACCTGCTCGTGGTACACCCTGCTGACCAACGGACGAGGCTCTGGCGACCGAAACTCTGGCGGGATAACCAGACAACCACTATGTACAGGAGGAAATAACTGTACCCGGACACATCACCTATCTGGGGGTTTTCCCTACTTCAAGCGGGGTAGGTTTTGGTATGTCAGNAAAAAAAAAAAAAAAAAAAAAAAAAAAAAAAAAAAAAAAAAAAAAAAAAAAAAAAAAAAAAAAAAAAAAAAAAAAAAAAAAAAAAAAAAAAAAAAAAAAAAAAAAAAAAAAAAAAAAAAAAAAAAAAAAAAAAAAAAAAAAAAAAAAAAAAAAAAAAAAAAAAAAAAAAACAAGTAAAACGTTACTCGTTGGTACTTAAGTTATAACATAACGCACAATCACAGATCCTTCACAATGAGGTGTATTACGATAAATGATTGCAATATTATTCAGGTCGTTTTGAAGGCAGACTACAAAGGCAATAAAAAAAGAAAAAAAANGCGCTACTGCTCGACCTCCCCGGTCGGAGACCTAGAGGCAGACCCAAGACAAGGTGGAGGGACGTAGTGCTGAAGGACAAGAGAGAATGCAATGTTGCTGACGAGGATGTCGAAGACAGAGCGAAGTGGAGGAGTAAAGTCAGGAAAGCTGACCCCACCACCATGTGGGATAAATAGCTGGGAAGAGAGAGAGAGAGAGTATGTTAATCTGATCGCTTGCATGATGGGTCGTAGGTAAGGGTTGAAAATGAAAAAAGAAAATTAATGGAGCGCGTCAGATTTTCTTAGGGAGTCTTAACTGAACCTTAAATAAAGCTCTCATACAATAATCTGACGATTTCGATGTGACGCAAACTCGTGGCCATTATTATAATATGAAGAAAAAAAAACCCATTTTGTAATACTCAAGCGCGTCAGATTAAGATATATATGGCTCATCTTTATGTCCTAGACGTGCTGTCTCATAATCTGATTTAGAGGGATTCGCCTAATCTGACAAAAAAAAGCATACAAAGCATAGGGTAGAGACGTCCTAATATAAAGGCGGAAGTTCGCGTACCGTTTTGATATGGGGACGCAATGTCATTCCCCTGTAGAGGGTAACGCCTAGATATTTGACCTTCGAGGCCCACGGTATAGGCTGACCAAAGAGAGTGATGGGGCTAACGGCAGAGATGTTAACGCGCCTATTAGGAAGTGGGATGCTCAAATTGGTATTTGGAGGGCAACCCTTTTGAAGAGCACCGCTGTGCTTTTCGTGGGGTTGATGTCGTTGCGCCACTTCCGGAACAATTGTCCCATGGTGGTTACTGCGATCTGGAGTCGCCGATGCAATAGCGACTTCTTCCTACACGAGTAGTAGATAGCCGTGTCATCGGCGAAGAGCACTAGATTGATATACAAACTTAATAACAACGGGGAGAGCGCTAAGCCTCGCGGGACTCCGGCCGTCAGATGACGGGGGCGAGAGCGAGTTCCCTCTACTCGACAACGAAACGAACGGCTCGGCAAGAAGTCTCGTATGATGAGCACGAGTCTGTCTGGCACTCCCATGTTGTACAGTTTGTAAATCAAACCGTTCGGCCAGACTTTGTTTACGCCTATTTAGCCCTATTAAGATGTGCTTCGTAAGGTGGTGCACTTGTTGTATGCACGAGTATTTGGCGCCGAACCCCAACTGCTCGTCTATTAATATTTTGATGAATCGTTAGTGCCTCTGTGTATTTGTTTCAGAGATTCAGTTGTTTTTCAAGTTACAACAGCAAGTCAACAAATATTTAAGGAAAATGATTACGGAATTCAATGAAATTATTATTAGTAATCTTTTTTTACCTATACGCTGGTAGCCTAAGGGGCTATTCCAGCTAATAGTACTCTTGTTTTGTTATTTACGGTCGTAAGTTAGTGTTTC